TACATTTCTTGATTGCTATATATGCATGAGATTCATTTACAAGAATAATGTAGACAATACATGTCTGTATATAGTCCAAACACTAGAGATATACATTTATATACTATGTCTTATACATACAATAGAATTCATATCATCCGGCATGTTCGGATGTGAGGCAATGCTGAATAATCATAAATATGCCGAATAATTAGACTATACTTATATTTTTCTTTACTTCTTTTTATACTTTTATTGGACTATATTTTCTTCTTTATTATCATGTCGGCAAAAATATGGTATTTGAGGAGCTACAAGGATATTCCGAGGGTACAGAAGTCTTCTCACTATTTTACTATCCTGGAGAAACTTAAATAACTTATCAACTAATAGCTCAAATTTCATATTCTTGGTCTCAAACCAAGTAATAGTCTTGTACTTTGACTTTACATGCCAGCTTGCTATAATTATGCCTATTTATAAATTTAAAAAAAAATAATAGGATGTACATATAGAATATTGGATGATTTCTAGCGATCTAAGAGTTGAAGAAATATTTTACGGGCATAGGAATGTTCAAGAAAATGTTCTACATCCGTATTATGCCATATAAGTCTATTTATTATTGCAAATATCGAATGTTTGTTACAGCTAAAAGAGATTTTTGCTATAAGAAAAATAGCATGAAATCTATCAATTTAGAGGACAAAAAACATTTTGAGGGTAGAGAAATGTTCAGAAGAATTTCTTGCATTTATACTATGTAAAAACATTTTATATATTATTGCAAATATCGAGGACAAATGATTCTTGCCGTTCTTGTCATAAGATGTATAAAATTCGGCACGATCGATTGCTGATTGGGTAACAGTGGTGCTTCCTGTAGCGGAATCAAGAACCTCTGATTTGGGTCCGTACAGCGCCAATAAATAAATGGCAAGACGCTCAAACTACTAGGCAAACAGTGGCGTCTCTTGTGACGAGATGTGGAAGCTCATTTTGGTCAGCAGTTCTAGCGTTTTGCCACTTACTAATTAGGGCTATATGGACCTTGAACGGACTTTTTATATTTCGCCACAAGAGGTGCTACTGTTTGGCTAGTAGTTTGAGCGTTTTGCCACCATCTAAATGGCGCTGTACAGAGGCTGCAGAAAAGCTTCTTGATTCTGCCACAAGTATCGCCACTATCGTATTAAAAGAGCAATAACTTTTTAAAATTCATTTCAAGCTGAAGAATTGTACTTTATGATAAACTTCTTCAGGATTGTCAGTTAAATTTGTAATTAATAGATTTCATGCTATTATTACTGAATTATTTAGGCTTTTCTAAGAAGGGAGGAAAGGGATGAGGACATTTCTACACCCTCAAAATGTTTTTTAGCCGTTAAATTTCCCTGATGAAAGAAATTGAAATACAGAAAAATTCCAATTATCCGGTATATTCGGAACCGAGGCAGTGCCGAATAATTGTAAAACTATGTTATAAAATACTATACAACATGGAGAAAACAAATACATATTTTGTTCATGTGTAAGCATAAAGTTCTATGCACCCTTGTATATCGTGAATGATAATTATATGTATACGATTTTACAAACAGATCAATGAACGTTCAGTCTTAATTGAGTTATGTACGTATCATTCTTTCTTGTTAGTGGCGTCATTGAACATAATATATTAATGATCATTTTCGAAGCAGATGAAATGAAACAATTTCCGTTTAATACTTTTTATATCATAAGTAAAAACTAATATACCTCTATGTTTTTATCTTATTCTGTTGCTGAGATCGTCTGGCCTTTATTCGCGCTTGTAAAGTAAGAAGCAGGCCTGCAAGAACATCGTGATTAGGAAGTTTTTTAGCAAAGAGGAGACGTTTCACAGAGTCGTCGTAGGTTAACAATGCAACCATATTTTGCAAAAGGAATCCTTGACAGTACTCTAAGAGCTGTGTTGCATTATAGACCTGGAACATTTGAATTGAATTAGAAAAGTGAAAAGTTTAAATTTCCGTTAATTTTTATGAATGAGGAATAGTCTACCTTCGCATGAATGTACATGGACACAATGTTGTCAAGATCAACCATGGAGGAACATTGAGCCTCGCAGTACCTAAGCAAACCATCGAGTTGAAAAAAGTTTGCAGCCGCCATCAGTTCTAACACATCACTCTGATTCACTTCTAACGTAGCGCATCCGCCATGATACAAGAATTCCATGACCATCTGCAAAGAGAAAGAATTCATTTTCCAGGAAGGGATGCTCTACATAATATTTTGATAATTATGCATTTTTCATTTTCATTGATTATATTGAACGTCTTTATACCTGAAAGATGTGATACCGGATATCATTAATTTGTACAATAGGGGGATTTCCCTCGCATAGTTTCGAACTTAGCATGTTTCTAAATCTTGGCGACGACGTGACCAAAACAATTTTATGGCCATAGAAGACTCTACCTTCCACTCGGAACTGTACATCGCTCAGTTCTGGATTATTTACAAATTTAGGATCGATTCTTGATCCACTAGAGAGGGTGGTGTCCCTTATTGGTTTTATTGGTTCCCATCCAAAGCATGTGCAGAAGATGTCGGCAAGAAGGAGCGTCGTCCCTTCCTTCTATACAGAGGACAAACATAATAGTGCGTGCAAGACACGTCAACTATTCTATAAAATAATCTCTTTTACCTATTTTATGAAACTATAATATTTTATTTGATTGAAAATGACCCACCTTGCTGTACCTAAAGATGTTGAATAATAATGGAAGACATTCTTGAACAAATTGCGTCGAGTAGTCATCAGGACACACTTGTAGAAAATCTTGAAGCAGCTGATCTATCACGGAATCTAATCTCATTTCGTGGGCCGTTGCAAGACTGTGCATCCAACAGTGCAATGTCCAACCGACTTTCAGTCCACGAAGTTCCATGGTGATATCTGTGGAACAAATTAAAATGTTTAAAAATAGTTGGAATATACTGTAACGAGTACTGTAAATAATTCACTTTACCTAAATGGTTACTTTCTGCACTGTGGTACATAGCTTCCTGCAAAGCTTTGGTCTGCACTTTGTTGAAAACTGGTTCCTTACCCTCTCTTCGGTTCCCTCTTCCATCCACAGTCTGCTGCTGCGGATTTGTACATGCGCTTCCCTCTGCAAGGATCTCCTCCAATGATAATACTTCTTTTTCTCCTCGTTTCGTGGAGAAGTTTAGCGGATGGGACAACAACTGATGAAGACAACTCCTCTGACCGTGTGCTGTTGCCACTGATATTGCACTAGGCAAAATAACAAAAAAGTTACTAATAAAGTAAACCGATATGAACGCTTCTTTCTACCTAATACTTGCCTGTAGCAGCCGCGCTGAGCAGAACCAGAGTACGAGAACGAGTCTTTGATCAACGTCGACAAAAATGGTTGAGCACCGTGAGCCAAAAGCAACGCTACCATTTCGTTGTTACCGGAAGCCGTAGCCGCTTGCAATGGCGTAACCGTACATTTATCTTCGCTGAGTTTAGCACCACCTTCGACTGCAGCACCTCTTTCCAACAATATTCTTGCAATATTACAGTGCCCCAACAGAGCTGTGTAAGTCAACGCAGTCCAATGCTGAGTCTCAGCGTTAAACCCAGCTTGATTACAACACATATTACTCGAAGCACTGCTAGAAGAGCCTGGCGAGCCAGACAATGAATTTGGTGATTGTAAATTTTTCCCTGGAGACAGCATTGCTGATGGTGTCACCGGACTTCTGGTATTCGAGACACCTGGCACTGTTGGCATCTTAGAAGGTGTGTTGGCCAATTGACCAGTTGTTGGAGGTGGACTCTCTATGTTCAAATCTGCTCCAGCGTCTAGTAAAGCTAGCACTGCTGTTTCATCGCCATTGATGCATGCTATGATCAATGCAGTGAAACCGTTGTCGTTTACAGTGTTAATCTTGGTCGATGGCAACAGGGGCATAGCTTGGGCGATCAGGTCAGCTCGTCCACTAATTAGTAGCTTGAACGCCATGTCCATTGTGAGAAGACGCACGTACTCGGAGTCGTCGATTCGTTTGGAACAGACCGCTACTTCTTCGAAGCTGTAGGGTAGATATTCCATGAACAAAAGATAATCCAAGTCTTGATACTATCTCATTAATAAAGTCCTGTTTTTCTGAACCACAGACAATATACTGTATCTAAGGATCTTAATCATATTCATATCAATAGTAATCTTAGAAGAAAATTACATTACAAAGTTACACGTTTTAGCAAAACTTAAAAGCAATGTTTTTCAAAGGGGTACAATAATAGACGTTGTAGCAAAGTCGATGGGATTTTACCATATGGGTCTGACGGGGCAGTCGACACCGGGCAACAGCAACCTGGCAGCTTGATTAATATCGTCCTGATCTACAACGAGTCCGTGCCTATGTTCTGCATGAGCAGTCGCAACACGAAGCCATTCGACCAGAGGAGGAAGAACAACATAAGCTCGCTCGTATGCCAGCTCTTGTATCCCAGATCCCCGTTCCCCGTGTTCCAGCTACAAAGAACGTTTCTTTGTCAGATTATGGCACAGAATGATCGTACCGTTCAACTGTAGCAATGAATTATCTAGCGATCAGACCTGCGAACACCTCATGTAATAGAACAATGCGTTCAATGCCTTGCCGGTTAGGGGAATGGGTGAACGTCCCGCTTGGGCTACTTTCGAAATCAGATCTATCAGCTCCGACATCGATCCCACGCAGGTGGTCAACAGCGACGGTTCCAACGCAGAGCCTGCTGCGTCTCTTCCGCTCCGGGATGATGATGATGAGTTCAAGGAACTCACGCTGGCCCATCGAGGCATCGCCAGTGCACCTGGGTACAAATATCCTGATCAGATCAACATCTCCTATAATTGCTTTTAAACAAATCTTAGAACATTGTGACTGTGTTCATCTTAGAAGGTAAAATTGTTCTCTTTAAAGTTACTTTAATGGTATTTTAAAGCTATAATGCTTCCCGAAGTGCTTATATTGACAAATACGAGTTTCTCGTCTGACATTAGTTTCAAAGTGACACGAAGGTTATCGATATTTTACCTAGAAAACCCAAGTACTCTTTTAATCCATTTCCTATCAACGAAATGGTGCATCGTTTTTCATTGAAGTAGACTAATTTCACCGTAACTTCATTTGTGAACCTAACGATATAATTCTACCTGACGCTGTCCGTCCAGCATTCAGATGCGCGTACGGCTGAAGAAGGCCCCATAAATCTCCGCTGTTCGCAATGGCGTGCTCCAGCATGGTCGCCGTTAAGGTTGTGTGCGGGTCAGTCGGTATGCATTGTAACAGTATTTCCTCGAGTAGATTTTCGATCCCGGCGGTCAAATATATGGCTGCGTACTCGTGTATCATTCTTCCTAACCGGACGTCTGACATCCAGCGGAGGAAACGTCCCACTGGCAACTGCAATCCTGATCGGGACGCTTTTGATTGTTTTAATTGGTCGCCGGAGACTGCAAACATGGCTGCGGCTCGCAAGCAGGCCTACAAAAGAATTTACAAAGTGTCAATTGATAATAATGCTTGAGTTTCATTGAATTAAATATGGCTGACGAGTACAGTGGCTTAAGATATTTATCGCTACCTGTCAGGAAAAGTCTACTAACGTAAGACATGTGGACATTGAGAACAAACGATTAAGATTATAACATGAATTGCATCCGTAATCAGTAGACTGTGAATCTTTATACAAATTCTCAAAGACTGTTTTATACTAGTATACTAATTCTTGTTGACATCGATGGCATACCTTGGTGCAAGAATCAGCCAAGGCAGGACACAGAACAATTTTGAACGCGCTGTACACCTCGTGCTTGCTGCAGAGGCCGACAGGTTTGGCCAGTCGTTGAGTTTCTCTGCCAATTCTGACCAAGGCTCGTTGCAACAGATAAGACAACCGCGGTATGGTCTCCATGGACACTTGGTCCATGTGTTCCCTGGTTCTGCCATTCTGCAACACTCTGAGAACATCGTGGTGGGTCCAAGGTAACTGCTGCAGCTCTACCAGTCTGTTGTGCGAGTCCACCCAGACGAATTCATCGGCGCTGGTCACATTGGTGTTGATGGTCTCCAAGCTGGAATGCCGCATCAGCCTCCTTACGGCTGGCTCTGAACTCTCGGAGCCGCTCAAGGAGGAGTAAGTGGAGGACGACTTATGGGAGCGCATTGTCAGCTGCTGGATCGCTAGCTTGATGTCCTCTAAGCCTGAGCCTGACCATGGCACCTGCAACTACCACCGTATGCTTCCGTTTAAATCCGTTTGAACAACGACGCTATTACAAATTGGGGTTTCACGGGACCCTAGGTTTACAGGTTCTGACAGCTTTTAGCAGTCTTTTGACCCACAGTTTTAGTAAATTGCTAGCAGGTAACTATACAGGTGAACGTCCGTTTGTGAAAAGTGTTGCAATTGGAAGGTAAATGAAAATGTGCTTGGAAAAGACATGGATACCTTGGCAGGCGTGGCTCTGTGTCTGTTGCGGTTCTGTCCGGATCTGCTTCTGCCATTTCTCTGGGTAACCGAGGCCGATAGGCGATCGTCTTCGGGCACAGAGTTCAGCTGCTGAGGACTATGTGTCCTGTGGTGACGATGCGGAGGCGAACTGCTACTCGTGTGACCGCCTGTGTCCGACATGCTCGCGTGCCCGGACGACCGATTCTCATCCGACGAGCTATTACCTGTGCATTCTGGTCGCCTCTATAAAAGTCACCAAGATTTTTCATCAGTCACCAAATCCTCTACCCTCGGTACACAATTGTCTTACAATAATATAATAGATAATAAGTATCTACTGAATTATTAGATGCTAGCTTGCATCCCATAAAATACTAGGTGGGCCCAAAAAATGTTATTACTCCTTCAAGTTGTACAATTCATTATTAAACTGCGGATTTTATGTATTTATAACAGAAGCGAGTAGATCGAATACAATCGAATAAATGCAGGCAAAATATTTAACAATGCTTTTCGATTGTTTTCAAACTATTGAAAGTATTAAGAACGAAAATAAATGTTGATTTAACTTCTGCTTGCTGCAATCGAGCTGGAACATTTTTATTTTGCATAAAGGTCCGCAGTATATTTATTATATTATTTATTATATTATATTTTAATAATTTATTATATTATTATATAGTATATTTATTATGTATGTTTAGAAATATTGTCAGAGGCAGTTGATGTATCGGGTTGACTAATAAGTCATTGCGTTTTTGTTTTGTACTAGCATTGGGAAAAATGCAATCGAACAGATACCTGAAGCGCTCGGATCTCGTGCAAGCTAAGGTGATGGTGCTGAGAGTGATGGGGGTGCTGAGGGGTTGGCGTAGGAGCCACGCTGTCCGTGTCCCTTTCGGCCACCATGTGGACCGTGTTATGGACACCATTCTTCGGCGAACTCTCCGTGAAGTCCTTCGTGTAGGGGGGACAATACAGGTCGCGTCCATTGCTACCCCCTGGCCTGAAACAAGAAACCATTTTACCCGTTCAAGCTTGTGCAAAAATTCTGAAAAAAATCTCACACTTTCCAGACACTCGTACACATGCTACAATATTTTCTCAAATTTTTCGGTTCGACCAAATCTATCTTGTCTGCGAGAGTAAAGAAGACTGTCTGACGCGAGGCTATTTTCTCTGTGCAATTACTAGACTACGAATTTTTATGCAAAATAAAAATTGTCCGCATCATGTGCAAAGGAATAAATACCAAGTAGCAACTTCATTCTTCCTTTAATCATCTTAATAGACTAAAAGTAATATACATCGACGTTTCAAAATGCTTTTAATTTTTACACCATTTTACACTGTAACTATCCAATTTTTCCATAAATTCGTAAAATTCGTAGCCTGGTAATTAAAAAAAATCTGGCGAGAGAATGATATCGTTACACGCGCGAAGGAAATATATTCAAATCTTTAGACTCGAGATTCTAGTTGCAAACGATTAAAAACGCAGAAACATCGGTAGCGGTCTTTCGTATTGTGCTTTTAACTTGATATCTCATATTGACGATAAATTTGCCATAAAAACGATCTCTTCAGCTTTAAGAGAGCCGTTTCATTGGGCTAATTTAACTAATTGCCGTTAATGTTATTTGCGGTCGATTCGAGGATCGTTTCGAGGTACTATATCCCTGACCGACAAGATGTAAAGCGAGCGCCGTGTCGTTGGTCGCCCGAAATGAACGAAGCGGCGAATGTATTTTTCATGCGCGTGGAGGACGATGAGGGATCGATCGGAGGGAATTCGGCCCTCCCGAGATCGTCGAATAAACGATACTTGATACCCCGGTCGGGTCGGTTTCACGTTAATTGCCCACCAAATAATTCCGCCGACTCGCTTTCGATCCTTTCTTTTCGACTGTGTCTCGTGAAAGCGAGCACATAATAAGGAATCCGTTCCCAGAGGCTCGTATTCCGTTAGAACACCGGCCCCGAGGAAAGTTATGTTCCCGTGGACTCGTAATTCATCGGGCAGCAACAGCAAAATGGAAAAAGGAAAACCGTGGCTCGATCGGACTCTCCGAGTATTCGTATAAATATCCTCATTTACATCGACCGATTCAAAGGACGTTAAACTCTCATTTATCCCTCGTTTCTCATAACTGTTTTATCCGCCCCCCCCCTCCCCGCTCCGAATTGTGGCGATGGGAATAATACGAGGTGAATAATTAACTTTAATAAGTTCCCCGTTTAAAAACGGGAAACCGAGGTGGCGGAAGGTTAAACCTCGCAAGGCTGCGACTGTGTCAATTTTGACCCGGAGTATTTAGATCGTTCACTGAATTACTGAATTTTTGGCAACTGAATCAAATACAGCAAATTCTCCCCAATTGACGCTCAGATTGTACGCAGAAATGGACAATTTGGGAAGAGGAGATGCGATTATTCGACTCGTTTTTATAATCACCGATTGTCAACGATTAGAAAAAAGCTATAAATCTATAAAGCAAGGATAGCAACTACAGCAACTATAAGCAACTGTAAAGCAAGGCTCGAATGATCGTATCTCCTCCTCCCAAATTGTCAATTTTTGTGCACAATCTGAGCCTCAATTAGGGAGAATTTACTGTAAATTATTATTACATTAGCAACAACAGGAGGGCCAATAGGTCTGCAAGAAATACCTTCGAAAAAATATCTTCTAAAATCGCTGAATAAATCTCGGAGTTGTTATAAAGATCGTCAATAATACAGTTGCGAAAATAGTTCGCTGTCGGATTGTTAATAAAACATACGTGCAGAGATGTACGAGAGCTAGGACAAAAAACGATAGCTTCGTTAGCACGATCGCAATCAGAACAACTGCTCGGTTTTCGTGAAATGCTCGTCGAACCGAAGATTTCGATCTCCACGCTTCAGGGATCAATTCCGAAACCGTATTACTCGTAGCTCGATTTTAGAAACTCGATTTCTAATCTCGGATTGATTACTGTTCGCCGTATGCTGGTAAATTGTGAATCCTTATGCAAAATAAACCGCAAGGAAATTTAATCTTTCCTTAACAGTTTGAAGAAATCGAAAATCCCACTCAGATTAGTCTTTCGATTTCATCGAGTTTATTCAAGAAATCGTAAAATCTGCGATCTCTCGTCACTTTCTCTAGTAACAATAACGACGAATACTTCGGCAATCGATGCGATTACTCCGAAGTGAAATGATTTTAGCGACAGGTGTCGCCGATCAGGTGGTTCAGGCGTGAACCCGTCGATTTCCCGATCCGCCGAGCGAATCGGTTTCCAAACAAGGAACGTTCGCGATCCGGTATCGCCGTGAAAAATCGTCGGGCCCCCCGGGCGCGGGGCCCGGTTTCTCGCGGTGGTATCCTTTAATTTTACAGGACCCGGCCGCGGCCGGTTACATAACGCCGCAAAGGATTGCATGCAAACGCGGCTCCACCGTGCAAATTAACAGTAGGCGTACGAAACGTAATGAGATTCACGTGATCGATAAGCGCCGAAGGGGAGGCGTAATCGTGATCCACGTGTGCCGCTCCGTGGATCTTGATCGGCCCACTCTGTTTCTGGCGATTCGAAACATTCTCCGAAAAATCTTGAAAGTCCCGACGCTTTCATTCCGTTCCAAATATGTATCGCCGATAAATCCCGGGTCCAGTTCTCAATTTCCGAAAATAGCCTCCAGATTTCACGAATTACAAATCGTCCGTCCAATTCACGATGCCCGAACAATTCCGTACACTCGCAGCTCGAGGACTTTGTTTCCGCAACGAAAACCGTAATTTTATGTTATTCGTAAAATCGCAAATGGAGACACGAGTGCTCTGATCGCGAATGGTGTTGCCGAATAGCGATGAGGTTGGTATACCGTGGATTCTTGTGCGAAATAAAAATCGTCTGCGCCAATTGCAAGATACACAGGGTGTCCCAAAATTATATCACTTCCGGGAAGTGAGGGATTCCTGAGGCCATTTGAAGCAACTTTCTCCTTAGTGAAAATGCAATCCGTGGTTTCGTTTATGAATTATTAATGAAAAACAGTGACCAATGAGAGACGAGATCGGCTGGCGCGAGGCGGCCCAGTTCTACTCATTGGCTCGACAGCCTCGCGCCAGCCGATCTCGCCTCTCATTGGTCACTGTTTTTCGTTAATAACTCGCAAACAAAGCCGCGGATTGCATTTTCGCCAAGGAAAAAGTTGCTTCAAATGGCCTCAGGAATCCCTCATTTTTGGGACATAATATTGGGACATCCTGTGTAAGACACATAATGATTTGTCTTCTTCCTAAACGATGTCAATGAGTTGAAAACGGTGCAATAGCATTTCTGAATTCCTTAAACGTTCTCGATGTCTTGTATTTGATCTATCAATTTCTATCGTAAACAAATAAAATCAGCAGTGTAATTAGCAGACTGCGGATCTTTATGCAAAATAAAATTTGTCTTCATTTCAATGAGTCGATTGCAAATGCAATAATATCATTAAATTGTTCAAATGTCTGCTATTTTGCATTTGAACTACTCATTTGTAATAACCGTAACTACTCATATGCATCTTATAAATGCATAGAATCCGCAGTCTAGCAATTAGAATAATGAACAGAAGGAACGGAATTGTGTCTCAGAATGCATACAGACGATATCTATTACGCATAAAGACAGTAATAGGTAGTAATAACCTGAACGATATCTGTCAAAAATTCCTAAATAAGCTATTAGGTTGTGTTATAAATTCGATCGCGGACCTCTGACACTAAGGAAAAGACAAGAAAAATTACACGAATTCAAAGCGATAGTTCAGATGAATTTTGAGTTACGTTCGCGTGGGGCTATTTCTACGCAACTTAGCTTAAACAAAAACTGGAAGTGTCTACTTTAAGACAGGGTAGATCAGATTGCAACAAAATGACGAGATCGTTTTGGAAGATTAAAACGAATCGACCTCTGACATCATGGGGTTTACAAGATTTAAAAGAAAAAGTTCCGATCTATTTTAAGACACTTCCCCGTAGGGCTATTTCAATGCAACTTAGCTTAAACGAAAACTGGAAGTGTCCGCTCTAAGACAGGGTAGATTGTGCTGAAATTGTATAATAAGTCCGTTCGCGTCGACAGTTGCACGGTGCTACGGGAAAACGCGAACGGACTTATTACACAACGTGATATCGTCAACGCAACTCGACGAGGCTCGCCGATTCCACCGAGAACCAGTTGGAATCGGTTCGCAGCGAAGCAGGGATCTCGGCCGTGGTCCCACTAATTTTTCATCGACGCGGGCAAAGAACAACGCGAGCGTGATTTACCCCCTCAGGCGCCATTGCTGCACAAAGCTCCAGTCCGCCTTGAACCCGGTGTTGTCCCCCGGCAAGGACCAATAGTCCTCGACCTGGCTCTCGTCCTCCTCGATTCTCAGCACGTCCTCCCTGCTGGGGCTGACGTTCACCACGATTTCGTGCGTGACCTTGGCGTCCTCGTTCTCCACCAGGCTGACCGTGGATCGCTGCCTCTCGATCCTATTCCTCGCGAACCGTTTCTCATCCTCCGTTCGCCCGTCCGGATCCTCCTCTCCGTCCCTCTCGATCATCCTCTTGTCCTCTTTAACGACGACGACCGGCTGCTGGTGGTGCTGCTGGTGCTGTTGCTGAACGTTTTCCGTCTGGGTCGCCGCTCTTTTATTATTCTCCCTCTGCCGCTGGCTCGAATCCCCGAAGTAAATCACCGTCTTGTGAGCGACGTCTTTGTCCGTCCTCCTGGGACCGTTGCCGGCCACTGCCGGGCCCGTTTCCGGCCCCGGGCTCTTGTCCTCCAGCGTGGCGCTATCTTCGTAGCCAGCGAACCTCGGATCCTCCGTTTCCAGCCACTCCTTCGACGGTGTTCTCGCACGGAACGGCAAGCCTCGCCGGAGGATGAAGTTCACCGCGTCACGACGGCCCGGAGGACTCCCTGATCCTTGGACCGGCATCCTGCAGCCTTTCAGCTCGCGACAGAGCATGCAGCCGCAGTCGCCGTCGCAGGAGCCAACAGCGATCGACGGCATCTTATCCGACGATCATCGTCGCTGCGACCTCGACGATGGTGTTGCGACGAATGCTCGATGGGATAGGAAGTCCCGATGACTCTGCGCCAGTTTCGGCGCCGGAAGAACAGTCATTCGCTCGAGGATGCGGTACGCGAGCTGTGCGTTGCTTTATCTGACCACGCGCGTCCGGTCTCTAGTTCGAGGAAACTGGGCTCCGAGCAGGAAGAAGATGACTCGCGCGTTGCGCTAGTCGAGATTGCCGAACGGTGCTCTCGATTGTGTTGTCGTGGGCGATGATTTAGCTGCTGGCTCGATGATCGGAGACGCTTCTCGATGTTCCTTGAACTTTGCGATTAATTGACTCACGATGTTCGCCGTTCCTTGAGTAAACGCAGCGTCGGTTCTCGGTGGTAGCAAGGAACATTCTTTGCTGCTTTAGGTGGAAGATTTTTTTAGTTTGAAACAGTTGCCCTGATCTCTGCTGTCCATTCCGTTAATTCTTGTTGCAAGAACGCGAAGAAGTGGCCGAGGGAAGAGCAAGGGATGCTTTAATTTGCTGAACGGTATTCGATCATTCTTCTATTGGAGATGAACGAAGTTTTTTCACCTTAAGTCTCCAAAGGACAAACTAAAGAAAGAGAAAATCCAGATCGTTTCACTCTAGCTCCGCTTTAAGGCGCAATTTCGTTTCACTAACCGCACAGGCTCTCTCAAAATCGCACGATTTCCATAAACAGCAGATTTACATGGTGCTACTTCTTCATGTATCCGCCAGGTTCTCCAATTTTCTCTAGGACGCCAGAGCTTCCGACGAATATCCGTATATCCACGGGGTTTGCATCGATTTTGAATTTTCCCAAGGACACCAGAATTTCGAACAGTTACCTGCACACTTTCTCAATTGTTCCAGAGCTTCGAGCAATCGCGCGTCTTTCCTCAAGGACACCGTAGCTTCTAGATCACACGTGTTTGCTCAGAGGCCGACTACCGATCTATCGATTTCAAGTTTTCCGAAGAGCGTGCCAGTGCGTTCGCATCGACGTATTCCGATGGACCACCGTAAGGACACTCGAAGATCGATCGCTTTCAGAGCAGTTCGACGCGAGTCAGGCGCGAGCATGGCTCGGGCCACGCGACTGGATCGTCGGTGTACATTGCGATCGCTGCACAGGTGAAACGTGCACTTCCTCCGCGCGCAGACCGCAGAAGCGTCGGCGAATAGAAGACCGCTGCTTGTATCACTTTCCTTTCGTTGCTCCTCTTTTCACCCGGCCGTGGTCAAACGAGCGGCGAGCTTATCGCGTGTGAATCCACCTTTTCCAGCAACCGAACGCACAACCGCCGACCATTCTGTCCCACCTGTCCACGAACACCGACGAACACGTAACGAACGCGGGACGACGAGTGGTTAAGGGGTAGACTGTGGATTTCATGCATTTATCGTAAATTGATTGGCTAAATTCGAATCAGTGCACAGATCAAGAGAATTTAGGATTATCTAAAGCAGGGGTGTCAAACTCGCGGTGGACATTTTTGCGGTCCAGTCAATATATCCGACGCAAAGTAAAAATAAAATAGAAATAGTCTCGGCCAATAAAATTTCTCCCGTAATAGGAAAGATAGTATCAGAGAAGAGATGTCAAGTATCAGGACGTAAACAATAATTTAACTTTATATATGTTTATTACGATGTACTAGTCAAAATAAAAATATTTGTTTCTATGAACATTGATTCTTTTTGCGGCCCACCTAAAAAGTTAAGCATTGTTTATTTGGCCCAAGTTGGCTTTTGAGTTTGTCACCCCTGACCTAAAGGATTATATCTTTAGGACTATCTATCTCGTTCATCTTTGCTGAAACTTATGAAGAAAGTTTCTATTTTCTATAAAGATTCGCAGTCTACTAAGGGGTCACCAGTGACCCAGGACACTTTTCACTGGTTCGAGAAATGTTATTGATTTGAATTTTAAATTCAATTTTATTTCGGTTTTACGACCTTCGACGTTCTTTCCGAAAAGGACTGGGTTTGGTTATTGGTTTGGACTAATTAGTTTAGTCTTGTTCGGCGAGGCAGTCTATTTGACACACCTAACTTCAATACTGTAGAAATCGCATAGTTTATCGATGATAGCTTTAAGTTTAATTTTAAGTTCAATCTTTTATTTCGGTTTTTCGGTTTTCGAGACAGAATTTATCAGTTTTATTATTTACGGTTCCGTAAAATTAATGTTTTTCTACTGTGTCGATTTGACCTTAAGGATCAAATTAAATTGGAGAAACGAAGGTCCGACGAAGGTCAAGTTATAGAGTCGTTGTCAACTGTGGTTGCCTGTTAAACAGTTCAACAGTTCATTAGTTATTAGTAGACTGCGGATTTTATGCATTCGTGACAAAAATGTGTAGTTGAAATGTAAAATTGCGAAGACATAGAAAGAATTTAATATAATATAGTTACATTATTTTCAGTTTATGAAAGTGATTAAAAGAAACGATTTTTATTTATTTAATTTTTGTTCCTCACGATCGTCTTGGAAAATTTGTATTTCGCATAAAGATCCGCAGTATACTTATTAGTAGACTGCATTTATGTCATGCATTTATGACAAAAATGGATAAATATGTCTGAGAACAGTGAAAAGGATAAAAAAAATGTTGAAAGTGTTTTCGTATACTAATTTCAGCTTATTAAAATTAATACAGAAACAAGTCAAATTGTGCTTGGCTCGCTGGTCTTACTATTGATACAGAAAATGTTTAATTCGCCTATAAATCCGCGGTCTAGTGTTTAGCGAGTTTATTCATCCCCGACGTTAAACAATAAAATAAGCAAGTAATTACCGAAAATCAGAATCACCAGATTGTATGAAAATAATAAAGCTGCCTTTTTACATTAATTACAGAGTACACGAACTTTCTAACTCTAACAATGAATATACTGAATCGTAACAAGGAATGGTACCATTTCGAATAATCACAACTAAAAGCGAACTATGACTGGTCATAAAGGTCCGCTCGGTGAATTACACAGGCAATTTTCCTGGTTAACAACGTGTTAAATCGTTCCAGCGTTTAATGCGATAATTAGCGGCGCGGCATTTTTCCCACCCCGGGTTTTCCTTCCGACGAACTAGATGGATTACCAGAAGCTATCAGCGCGATTCGCCTGTAGGGACAGCGGTAAACAGGCGTTTACTCGCGCGACGGGGTCCAAAGATAGAACAAGCGGGAGGGCAATTACGCGCTCGCGGAGCTGATTGTGCGGTGTACGCGCGCGACTTTCACCGTTCCGGGCTGCGTAAAATTGATTCCGAAACGAGTAGTGCGCCTCTGATACATTGCCGAAGCCTGCTGCGTTCTGCAGTCCAGATAACCGATTCGATCATTTCTGCCCGAAACGGGGACTTGCTGCGGCAGCTGCGCGCGAAGTCCTTAGCGAATGCTATGCAACGATTTCGATGGATTTATTCGCCATACTTGTTAAGCTTTACGGTAGCCAAACTATCGATTTCAAGTCTGTTAGCCACGTTAGTAAATAGACCGTGGATATTTCGCGAGGAATAAGAAGCGTTTGAATTAATTACAAACACGATGAGGCCGACAAAAATTGTTTTAAATTCTTTCTTTAATAACGTAAATTCTTTCCTTAATAATTTTCATTCTTTTAAATTCTTTCTTCAACAAGTGAAAATTACTTTAAGTTCTTTTTTTCTTGATT